GCTGTCAGCTGCACCTTGTGGCATCCTGAGCAGCCGCTTGTATATGTCAGCTGGTGGCTGGCCACATGGCTGTGGGCATGGCAGAGGATGCGACTTTCAAAGTGCCGCTCCCACACCACGGCCACTGCGTCCACCAGTGCCACTCCGTTGAAGGCTTCCGTCCTGTTGAGAACCATGTCATTCAGGACACGGATGATGGCGTTAGCAAAGTTGTTGGTGTTGTGCCCCCGCGTGGTGATGTTGGCACAGAAGAGCAATGCCCGCTCCTTTTGTCTCCAAAGGAAGGCCACCACCTGTGCCACGAAGGCCTGGTGCACTTTACTCTACAGGTGGGCCGTTGCGGCTTCCAGCTTCTCTTCACTTGCGGCATACATCACCTGCGGTTGGTCATTGCACCTTAGAATCTTCTAATGGAGACATGGCCAGCACCTGTTAGCCTCCCACAGAAACATTAAAATGAAATGTCACTCTGCTGGCACAATCCATGTTGAGATGTGTTGCTAGACCCAATATCACCTTCTCCCTCGCGTCAGCAGTGCACGCCTCACAACCCTAGAATGCTGTACAAGTTCCCCTATTACAACTTGCCTCCTGGAAGAGCGACATCAATTGACACCTCTGGTCCTTGTCGACGCGGTTGTGGGCTGCCAATAACCAGTGCCATTATGCCTGTGCCACTTGGAAATGGCAGAGAAGCTGCCTTGCTGTAGGCCACGTCTTCTGCACCACAGCCTTCTCCGCACTGGAGTTGTCTGTCATGACCATGTTTGGTGCCTGAGAAATGATAATATGTGGCCGGCCACGAGGCTCAAAGCTAACAACTGGACAATCATACTTATTAAATGCCATATGTTTTTACCCGTGGGAATGCTTTTACACTTCCTCGAGATGTCTGGCTGGTAACGGTTATCTATGCCGAAAATACAAATATGCTGGAACTGACATTTTTCACTTTGGCGCTGCCAGCATTTTCCTGCACAGCAACATTCCCTTCCATTCTCCTGTTCCCAACCTGCTTCACCGCTTGCACTCAGGCCACAGAGCCATGGTTCCTGATAGTTTGTTCACTGCTCGGCGGTGACAGCAAAAATGATGCTTGAAACATGGAGCTGCCATCTCGTTTAGTTTTTGCTCAACGTGTACTAAATAAAGATGCTATACAGTAAAACCTCGTTATAACAAAGTTGAGGGAGCGGTCGTAATTATTTCGTTATAACCATTAGTTTGTTATAGCCACTGTCCATTTCTTCCCACTATTAGCAAGCAAGGGGAATTATGATTGCTTTGTTATATTCATTAGTTTGTTATATCCCATTTTGTTATAACGAGGTTTTACTGTAGTTTATCTTTCTCTCCTAGTTACCGATTGGGCCCCAAAGCAAAGTGGGTATACGTTTCACAGAAGAACTTGAAAGTCAAGTACCCCTCAGTGCTCTGCTCGTTGTGGACGAGCGCTGCGACGGGGACGGCGCCAGCCATCGTAGCCATCGTTGCCACGAGCACCACTGTGACGGTGCACTTGGTCATGTCGCAAGAAAACGTAGAGTCTATAAAGATGGTTTCCTTAGCCACGTCCAGTTTCTGGGCCCACTGCGTAATGGAGTTCACAATCAGAACTGCCCAGCAAGAGTTGCTGTCGCTCCAGCTCGCCTCACGTCGGTGCCTGGAGAGTATTGTGTGAGGAGCCACTCTAAAAGGGCTGCCGTTTTTATGCACTTTTTTTTAGGCACTCAATACCTCAAAACTTGCTCCTGCACGCTACAAAGTTAAAAAAAAAAAAAGAAGAAGTTTGGTTATTGCTGAAATAGGTGGCTATGGAACTGTGCATGACAACTACCATAGCTATTATGAACTTCGAATGTAGGCAACAGCTTTTGGCATGATATGCAACTTACGTAAACCATAGAGATGATTGTTAGTTAGAGTTGTCCTCTAATGACTTGGTCCCACTTGAACGATAAACAGCAACTGACATTGATCAACATCAAGCACATTAAAAAACCTTTGGCAGAGTTGCAATCACTTGTTTTTAGTACTTCACAAGCACAGGGCGATTAAAAAATTGGTCAATGTAGGTTGTTGCTTGTCACTCAAATAGGACTGAATTGGGCCCAAGCTTATACATTGACAACATATTTCTTTTCGCAAAGTGACAAGACTCGTGAATGGGCCATAGCACTGTGGTAAGTTGTGGCATACCTTAAGCTGCATAGAGTGGTGCTTTCTCCTCCAGCTTGGATAGCAGGTCGTTCGTGCCACGGCCAAAGCACGTGCTCCTCCACACGCTTCTTTACCTTCTTAGGTGGCAAGGGCTAACCTTGGGTGGCGAAAGACACCTTGTCCATGCAGAACCACACTTGGTTATAGAGACTGGGTGTTACTAATAGAGTAACGTCGTCAGCCGAGCCTTTCTTGTTATGAAGTGTTACCTATTTCCTTGTGCTCGGTAATGGTCGGTGCGCCACAGTTTTCCGAACGTCTCGCCATTCATATGAGTACCAGAAGAAAAACCTTTCTTGATCGGCCCCCAAAAAGGGGCCGCACCGCAGTACATGTGACTGAGATCTAGTAGTTTTTACTAGATCCGCAGAAGTTTGCCATCTCCTTTGCTGTTGGCCACGCACCAGTATATGTGGTTGGAGCAACACCTCGTAGAAGCTTCAGGCCTGCGCGAGCCATCGGTGACGTCACGTCCGGAAGGCGGATGCTCCCGCCGTCGTCCCACAGGCCAGTCGCGAGCGCTCCGAGGGCATACAGCGCGGAAAGCTCTTCCACATGCCTTCGGTGTCCTTTTTTTAGCTTAATGATTTTATTTTGCTGTCGGACAAGCGTTAGCTGATTTCTCTGAATAGTTTCAATTCTGCGCCAGATTATACGTTGGAGCTCACAGCCAGAATATCGGAACGAGCAACGCCTACCCAAACAGTACGGCGCGAGTAACTGCCACGGAAAAACTGGAGAAATCAAATGCAATACTGCAGTAGCATTGGAAACTTTCAGAACTTAGGTCAACTCAGTGTCCATCTCCACAATTGCAGCTTTCCTGTAGGTAATCATACCAGAACTAAAGAAAGCATGGTACTTATAACTAGTAGAGGCAACCAAATATTTTATTTAGCTTAGAAATAAAGAGCAAAACCAGCATTTTTCACAAGCTTCAAAAATTTGTGTTATATAGCTATGTGCCTTGGGACGCACAGATTCAATTGTATGCAAAAGGAAGAGCACTCTGATCGCAAGTTTATTAAGAAATGATGTTGAAGAAGCATAAGGAAGCACTGTCAGATAACAAATGCAGCACTAGAGGACAAAAACCACTGGTGAAATGAGTATTCGGGAGCTATGTAGATGACAGTCATGTTGGCACCAAATGAGAAATTAAATATCACAAGACAGAACTAACAAGCCAATAGCATAGTACTCGAATACAAAAAGATAAACCGATGAAACAGTGCTCATATTATTACTTGCAAGCTAGCACAGGGCAAGCTATCCCAATATGAACAGAAAAAAAACATCAAGACAAAAAAAAACCTCAGTCAACATGCTACACATATGGCAATTACGAAGACATGAAATCAAAAGACATTCAGCAGATTAACAGAATGCAAGCTGACGGAACGATGAGTCACAGTTGAAACAATACATTACGCATCGGATTGGCAAGCTGCAAGCACAATTCTTAAAAGACAAGCTGCATTCATCGACCTCGGGAAGAGAGCGCTCAACTGATTTCTTAAATACAAATTCAGACGCTCACTGCTGCACCCATGAGAACAGCAAGCACTGTTGAGACAACTCAGCTTGTGGAAAGAACGGTTAGTTTTCTTTTCTTCGCCTTTGAAGCTGCAGAAGCTGCAGAAAGTAAGTCATTCTTCCTTTTGCATGCATTATTTAACAGAATGTTTGCTGCTGAATTCAACAGTATAAGGCCTATTTAGATGACGTCACAATTCAGTGCGGTCCTGCTGTCGGCCATATCCGTGGGTGAAGTCGCGCGGCAGCAAGTTGATCGCTGCAGGGCTTACGTTCCGTGCGTCCCACGCAGCTTTGTATTTTTTAGTTCCCGTTTATATTAGATATAGATGTCTTTGCACTTGAGCGCGTACGCGAACGCCCTTGACAGGGCTGCGAAGATCCGGTACATCGACAAAGTTCGTCGTTGCAGCAGAGCAGATCCGCTCGCCTTGGATGGGAACGAACTCGGCTTCGTACTTGCCGACGTCCCGAATGTCAAGTTGATGGACATTAAGGACTATTTGGTGCACAGCACGAACTTCATCTCGCGTGACCAGATGAAGGCCTACAAAGCGCTGGGCGCTCATAATTACCTCCCGAGTGGTTGGGTCGCGCCCCCAAACTTAAAGGTGCTGCCAGACGGAATGGTCGTCGTTGTCGGCAAGGTGAGTTTGCGCGTTATGTTATTGACTCCTGGGGTTGAAAGTGTCCGCGAGTGAATGCCTTGGGTTTTTGTTGCGTTGCCAGAAGCACAAGTCCCATCGCACAGCTTTTGAACATCGGTGCCCATTGCGTCCCCAGCAATCTGCCCGCATGCGTCAGTCACACGCGCGTTATTGCTGTCCAAGACTGCTGCTCACTAGTGCTTGAGGCAGAATGCCTGTGCTTTACAATCATTTTGCACGTTTGTTGCCAACTATATCACGTTCATTGACATGTTTTCTTCAGCGCACGGCAGAATTGCCCATAAAAAGTTGAGGTGTCGAAGGCGTGTTTGCATTCCCTAAATAAACCTGGTTAAATGCCGTTGCATCGCTTTGTTCGTAGCGGAACTTGAACACTGTGTAGTCGATAGCTTTTGTAGCGGCTACATTTGAAAATCGGTCGTAGTCTTGCGATCGCCTGTAAATGCCGGGAGCCAGGGGTTTATCCAGAATTTCCAAACATGAAGGGAGAAGGAGACGACAACAACCTGAATCATTGCTGGGAGCGATGCAGTACTAATTACTTGCATGCAATGTTGACGGCTTATAACATGCTTGCAAGGTTCTATGTAGATGAAAATTAGCTCAAAAGTGTTTTGTGCATTTTCGTACAGGTGAATTACTCCCAGAGCCTCAACTCGCATCCCCTCCAGCCCTGGCTCCTTGTTCGGGCTGATGGAGTAGTGGAGCTGGCGCATTGTACATGCATGGCTGGACTTGGTGAGTCCTGCTCGCACATTGCAGCTGTGCTGTTCTACCTAGAAGCTGTTGTAAAGCAGCGAGATGGCACGGCCTGCACTGACGTAGCCAACAGCTGGCGGCCCGTTTATGTCAAGAATGTGGCCTTCTGCCCAATTGCCGAGATTAACTTTTCGTCTGCAACTGCAAAGAAGCAACGCCTTGATGCCGGTGAAGCGCAAACAGTTAGAAAGTCGAGAAAGAATATCCCCAAACCTACTAAAGAGGAAGTGGACAAGTTCTTCGAACAACTACATGCATCAGGTGCGCAATTGGCTATCCTCTCCATCACTAAGGGATACGCCCATGACTACATCCCGACTGTGGCAAAGTACCCAACAGCGCTTCTTGGCGACCTCTACAAGGACAACAAGCCTTCCTCTTGGGAAGCTGTGATGGCAGAGTGTGACCACATTGCAAGCAGGCTCTCCATTGATCCTGAGGTGAACAAGTGTAGCACAATTCGTAACTTCAAACCAACATCCTGCATGCAAGCTATCTGTGTGATGTAGTTAATTATATGCCAAGCCTTCATGATTATCAACAAGTTAATCTTGAATATTAGCATGCTTCTAGAAGAGGTAGTTTAGTTGTTGCTTGTCTGCCGAGAACCTTGTGTTGTGTCACATAATCCTAAACTTTAGCAGAAATATTTGTAGTGTCATTTGACCTGCTTGTACATTTTAATGCACTGGCAAAGGCTTCAGGTGCGAGCTCATAGTAGCGGCGAGCGAGTTACCTTGTGCTGCAAGAGCCAGGTTTGTTTTGTTCTACAGGGTGAAATGGAATGAAAATCGGTGTTTTATGGATAGTTGTAAATAGATGGGCGTCACAGTTGGCATATCGCCTTAAGCACGAAAGGGGTAAACACATTCTTCCCATTTCCAGTTCTAGAACAAATATGAACACAGTACTAACAGTCTTGTGCAATGTTACAGGTATCGCGATCTGTGGAGGCTGACACAAAAGACCAGGCAGTTTCAACGACCTGGTTCGCCTTCCGGGCAGGGAGAGTGACTGCATTAAACGCTAGGTCAGCTTGCTTCACACCAATTAGCATGCAGTCACTGAGTCTTGTAAAAAAATGTGCTATCCCACCGAGCACAAATTCTCTACCCCTGCGACAAGATGGGGAATGGAGAAGGAACCAATCGCAAGAGTACGCTACACCAGAGACGCCCCCAATGTCACATGAACAGTGATGTGATTGCTGCGCCAATTGCGCCAAACTGCGCCAAGGACCCTGCTACATCCTGCTACATTTTGCCAAAATATGGGTAATCTGCGCCAAGCCTGCGCCAAGGGACCGATTTTGGTGGCCTTTCTAAACCGAAACTAAACTTAGCACCGTAATGGAGCACGCGTGAACTAGGTGGCGCAAGCGGCCGCCCGACACAAAGTACCCTGCATCAATTGTTCATCCGGTCTTGCACGGATTTTCCCGCCATGTATCGCTGCGCGCCCTCGTTGTCTCGCTTTTTTTTTTGTTGTTTTTTTAACGATAGACGCGGGCCTGTACGGACACTCCGACGCTAACGTGCTGGGGTACCAGCCACGCCGTCATGTTCGGAAACGAAACCACCTTTTTTTGCGCGGCGGGAGTTACTTCATAAGCAGAAGCACTCGCTCCTGAGAGCAACGGCCATGGGTAAACTATATTTGGTCCCTGCCTTTCCGTCACCGTGGTCGCGCGACGTCGGGTGTTGCCGTCCCCACGTTGCTGCAGATATAGCGCTTTCTAAAATGAAATTTAAGGACCGCCGCATGTTCATCAACATCCTTGTTCTTGTTTAATACGCTACTACAACAGATTCTCTAGCTCAAAGAGTGCTTTGTCAAAGTATCGATTACTTAGGTTTCTCTCGGTTGGCTTTCTTTAAAGAGGAACCCTGGTACGTGAAAAATCTGCCGCGAAAGAAAGTTGGTGAAGAAAAGTGAGCTAAAGCAAAGAATGCAATGTTTGCACGCTGAACCCGCACAGCGCGCTTGTTTGTATCGAGTTCAGTCGTTCCGCAAAGCGCTCCAAGAACTTTTTAACCCTGGCTCGCAATGTCTTTCATCAATGTGCTCAGGTTTTTTTTTTTTTTCTGTGTGTTTAGCTTGTAGCTTGCCTGCCGGCCTGGCAAGCGCGTGCCGCTGGACTGTTTCTTGTCGTATGTTGGACAGTTACATTTTGTATACAATTTTGGGAACCACTTGGCGACGGAGCGGAGTGGCATGGTTTCTATCGAACAGCCATCTCCGCTCGCGCGACAATTTCGCATTGCACTGCAGTAGTTACGTGTTTCATCCGTTGGAGACTGCTTCCATTTATTTTATCAGTAGTCAACCTAATGCTGCGCTATTTACTACTAAGATGGTAATTTTCGAATAAATTTTCATATGTGCACTTTGGTTCTTATTTACTTATAGCGGGTACATATATACATATCATTTACTGAAGCATTGCAAAATGTGTCATGTCATTAGCATTTCAGTTCCATGTTGAAAGACTCCCAGGTGGTCTAACTGGTCTAACTTGACTATAAATTGTTTATTGCGGCAAGCAGAGTGTCCTTCGTTTGTCCAGCACTTCAAACGGATATTTGTATTTTTCTAAGAATATCTGCTCCAAAAGTCACTTTTGCTGCTCCGAAACACTGTTTTAGCTGCTCCAAAAGACACTTTTGCTGCTCCAAAACACTGTTTTGGCTGCTCCAAAGGGTGCTCCAAAACGGCTTAGGCCAATCACATCACTGCATGAACTTCGTGTGCGAGAAATCTGGGCTCCATATCTCCCCAGAACATCCCTAGCTTGCAGCAACCCCTGATGGACTAAGTGTAGCTGCTGTGGGGAAGGGCTGCTGAAAATAAAATGCCCATTTAGCTGCAAGTGCCTGCAAGAAGTGACGGCACGGAAGGACGGCTGCTTGCAAATCGTATCTGGGAGAATAGAACTGAAGACAACCCACACTTTCTTCTATCAAGTGCAGATGCAGCTAATGGTCTGCCAGACGCAGTTCTGTGATTTCGTTTTGTGGACCACTGGTGGCATGCACACGGAGAGGGTGCACCTCGGCGAGGACTTTTGCGACATAATGACAGGAAAGTGCTAGGCGTTTTTCTTGCAAGCACTGCTGCCGGAGCTGCGGTTCAGGTACTGGACCGAAGCTGCAGCCAGCACCCCTCTGGGAGGCTATGCTGTTTGCCACTGTGGTCACCCTGAGGAAGGGCGCACAGACTGTACAGGCCGCTTGTTTCACTTCAAATGCACTGGACTGAAGCGCGTTTCAAAAACAATACCTTGGTTTTGTAAGAGCTGTTCTGGTTAAGTGCATGTTTTGTGACAAGGAATAAACCCTGGAGAGTCTTGTCATTCTCACAAAGTACTGCAGCTGCTGTATTTCAACAGATTTAATTCAAATAGGAGTATATTAAGAAGTAGTGACTTTTTGTTGGATGTGTAACAGCTTGTGTTTCTTACACAAAGCTGATAAACAATCAAATTTCTGCAAGAAAAAAAAAGCATACTTATGGCCCCACTTAAACTGCCAAAGAAAGAACAAGGGGACAGGGAAGGGCTCTCATTAGGATTAGTTACTTAAAAATGGATTTGAAAGAGTACTAGCTCCCTGTTTACTTTCCTAGGAGGTGTGTAGTAAGGCATAGTGAGCAGTTTCGGGAAGACGAGGAAAAGTGATCAAGTGAGGCATTGGTAGAGCTGAATCTTGCACGTCAACAACCGAGAGCCACCGTAGGTCACATATTAGACACAAACATTGTGTCGGCATTGGGTTGGAATGCATATTCAATCAGCAAGAGCACACTGGGCTGTGCTCTTACTATATGTGACCTGCACTGGCCCTCAGTTCGTGACTTATCAGAATCAGTATCCATGCGGTGTTGCTTCAAGCCTGTCTGAAGTTGTTTCAGTTGGTGGCAACAACAGACCTGCATAGGTTTGTAAGTGCAGCACACACGAACACCACCTTATCCAGGACTGGGACGCTGTCACAAGCTCAATGGGGATTGTGGTGCTTAGAATTCGGTATTTGTTTCTAAGTAGTCCAATAACCCTCTCCACATGTATACGGACGTTTGCAAGAGTCCTTGTCCTTGCAACTTCGTAAGTGAAGAGCTGTGCCCGGCCACGCGTGAATGCTGGGATCTCCAGCCGGTCACAGACCAGGCCCACACTGCCGGTGATGGTAAACCTCCGATCTGCAAGGACAGAGTCCCCAGGAAGCAGGTTATCCAAAATCCCACACGTTTCCGTGAATTCCTTATCACTGGTACGCCCACCCCAACCTGTGGATATGTATGTTATGATTCCTTGTGGAGCAATGCCTATCAAGTACTTGACTGTGTTGTGGTGTTTATATTGCGACCACGTCAGCGCTCTAGACACCAAGGACGATGGCCGGTCTATAAACACCTCGAAACAGTCGAGTACCACAGCAACCCCTAGTCCAAATGCTGCACGGAATGATGCGTGCATAGTTTGGCGCAACTCTTCTCTTTCTGGCCAGCGCACCAAGAAGCCAAGCTGATGGTGCATCAGGTTCTGGTAACCGTGGCCTGGGAGACTTGAAACCTGGAAATAAATGTTGCAGAGCATTCTAGCAAACGAAAATTCCACACACGCAGATTCTCATCTCAAGAGCAGAAGATAGAGACATTAAAAAAGAAGAGCGCTCCTAAGCGTCTACCGACATGTAAAATTCACACACAAATTTGTGCCACCTTACCTTGTTATGGTTACGCACGTAACGAAAGTGACTGAGAGGTTAGGACACACAAAAAAAATATCTGAGATACCTCTTTCGCTAGAACCCATTAGCTGCCTATATTTTTTTAATGTTTTGCAAAGTGTTTTAGTTTTGTGGATCAATTGGATCTAAGCGTGAAACCCTCAGATCTGCCCGTTCAAAGAGGACTGCCATGTTTAAAGGGCCAGTGATGTTGCTTGACCATGTCGGCCAACGTCACTAGTGACGCAATGGCGCAACTCCGACAGCCTCTTGCGTGCACGCCCAGACTCGGCAATCTCGGTGCTCGGACTGCTTTGGCCTTCAGCTCCTTGTTTCCCTCGTGCATTTCAAGTTGACGCAGTCTACGGCATCGCTCATGTCAACTCCAAGCGCGTGCACGCTTGGAGTTTCTAGGAGGTATTGGTTGAAGGCAGGTTGTGTCTATTGTATCAAGGCACCGCACCCTGCATACCTGCTTGCAGCCAACATCTTTTTGCTTACGCCTGTGCAGAAAGGAACTAGTCAGTACACAGCTCTGACAATGTCGACTTCATGATAAACTGGTTTGATTCTGCGAAGGACATAGAGAATAATGATTAAAGTTGAGCACCTTTTGCTACGTGCCAAGGATCGGAGTATAGTGATGGATCTCAGGTTCCTTCGTCTTCATGTGGCCCTTGATGGTGACGTGACAATTGGTCACTAAGTTTTCAATGGTGATGCCCTCCCCCTTGAGGAGGGCATCACCCTTGGGTGATGCCCTTCTCAAGACAACGTCAAGACAAGCAATCCCATGGAGCCATACAACTCAATGAGATTGCTTGTCTTGACCTTAGGAGCCTGTAAATGTAAAAAGAATGGTTGCACAAAAATAGCATGTTTCATATTGCCTTATTTAGACATTCTCAAAGCCAAACCATGGCAAATGGGATTAGGGTAAAAAAAAAAAGTGGTTACCTTGCATAAAATGATTGCAAGTAGAACAGCTAAACTTATTGCCATCTGATATTAAAACGATGGAGACAGGGACTACCCAGACAGTGTGAAGAACAACATACGCAGGTGGAAAACAATTGATGCTGAGCTACTAGATGAATAAGCAGCAACTTATTATGAGTTAATGAGCAATTTTACTGAAATGCAGGTGCAAGTGGCATGGCATATGAGTTATTAGCCTCACATGAGTCAGGAAACTGAATGGCTAGATGATCAACCTGCCCTAAATATTTTATTTTAATTTCTTTTAAGGTCCGATAAACAGTTCGATAAAGCACAAAAAGCACCGTGCTTTACTAGAAGCACGAAAAGGCCTCTTTGCAAGCATGGAATACTTGCCTTTCCAATGCAGACCTGTATGAAGTGGATGACTTGGTGGTGTCCATCTCTATGAATGTGTATGTCATGTACTTAGCAGAGAAGCCTGGTGGATTGAATCTCCCGTCTCCAGCCAAGTTCACTTTCCTTCCCCGCCTCTCTTCAAGAAGTCTCCTTTTCTCTCGATTCCACACCTGCAAAAAACAAATAGAAAAATATTAATTATATTTTTAGGAAACATTTGTTTAATATTTGTTCAAACTGATAAAGTTTTCGTTGTTAAAAAATTATAAGTGGGCGGCTACACTTGTAGCAAAATTACCTTTATCTTTCACATGCAGTGCCACATACTATATGGATATCATTTTGAGCGGTCGGTGCTATCCGTCTGTCCTTTTTTGTGCTTTGTTCAGCAAGTGAATGTGCAACAAGTTTCTGCACTACCAGTTGTGCTACCACACGCCAACTCGAATGCAAAGTACGGAAATGAACTTGTAATATTTATTATGTTGGTGGTACCCATCGCCTGGTGGAGTATAGAGGTAACGTTGCACATTAATAAAAGCAATGGGAGTATGCGGCTCCAAAGTTACATTTAGAGATATATGGCCCTTGGCAGACAGTAAGTGAGCCGAGGCACTCACTTGTTGAATTGCAGGCTGCACGATCGCTGTCTGGTAAAGAAAGTATGTCCATTCTTCAATAGCCTGGATGTTGATAAGTTCCAGAGCCTTAGCACCTTATAAGGGTTGGAACCAGTGGCCACAATAGCTGTACAAACAGGAGGACATTGCAAGCAGCCTTGTTTTTGATTAGTGGCTGGCTCAGCCAAGTCCTGGTATGCTTGTCGGGGCACACAACCTTCACCTTGATCATTGTGCCTTGGGTCCAGGTTTGAAGTGTGCATGTTGCATGTCATGTGATGCACCGCCGGAACAGCTGCAGGGGGAAACTTTGAAACACAATGTATTTCTTCTCCTTGTGCAAGAGGAGCGATGGGACTGAGTCACTGCACAGAGTATATTCCAAGGGTCAGTCACAACCTAAATCAGTGATCTGATTGCTATGCCCAGTGATGTGATTGCTGCGCCAATTGCGCCAAACTGCGCCAAGGGGCTAACCTTGCTACATCCTGCTACATTTTTCCACAATATAGATAATCTGCGCCAAACCTGCGCCAAAAGACCGGTCGCCTTTCAAAACCGAAACTAAACTGAGTACCAAAATTGAACATGCCTGTGTTATGTGGCGGAAGCGGCCGCCCGACACAAAGTACCCTGCATCAATTGTCCATCCAGTCTTGCATGGTTTTCCCGCCGTCTTGCGTTTCACGCTCTCATCGTCTCGTGGGTCTCGTCTCGCATATTTAAAAAAAAATATATATATATTTGGGACGATAGACGGACGCTCCGACGCTATCGTGCCGGGTACCAGCCATGCCGTCATGCTGTGAAACGAAGCCACATTTTTTCGCTGCGGGAGTCACTTTGTGAGCTGAAGCACTAGGCTCCTGAAAGGAACGGGCGTGGGAAAACTGTATTTGGTCCAGTCACCGTGGTCCCGCGACGTCGGGTGTTGCCATCATAGCTGCAGATATGGCGCTTTCTAAAATTAAACTAAGTACCACCGTATGTTCATCAACATTCCTGTTCTTATTTAAATCATACAAATCCCTCTTCAACTCAAATACAGCTGTGTAGAAGTATTGATTACCTGGGTTTCTCTCGGTGGGCTTTCTTTGGAGGGACTCCGTTATGTGAAAAAATCTGCCTCGGAAGAAAGTTGGTGAAGAGAAGTGAGCTTAACCAAAGAAGGTAATATGTGCACGCTGAACCTGCACAGCGTGCTTGTTTGTCCCGGGTTCAGTCATTGCTCAAAGCGCTCCAACTTCTTGATCCTGGCGCGTTGTCTTGTATCGATGCGCTCAGGTTCTTTTGTGTGTGTGTGTGTGTGTGTGTGTGTGTGTGTGTATGTGTGTGCGCATGTGTGTGCGCATGTGTGTGTGTGTGTGTGTGTGTTTTTTTTACTTGTACCTTGTTTGCTGGCCTGGCAAGCGCACTGATGGACTGTTTTTTTTTTCGTATTCTCGATAGTTATATTTGCATACAATTTTGGGAATCATTTGGCAACGGAGCGGAGTGGCATGGTTTCGGTTTCAATCGAACAGCTGTTATCTCCGCTTGCGCGACGAAGCACGCGCAACTGCAAGCCTGCCGAAGTTGCCCTTACGTGCATGCGAACATGGTTGCACAAAAGAAGCACCAGCCGGGACGCTTG